ATTTTTATTGGTAAGCATTTATTTAAAATATGCATTTTTTTTTTCTTCCATTAAACTATTAATAACAAAAATAATCATATATTATTCAATATATAATTACAAATAGGGTTATAATAGTCATTATATTTTTGGTAAGCACTTACCAAAAACATTTGGTAAACAATCTTACCCGGGACAGCACTTACCGGGATAACACTTACCCGGGTCAACACTCTTACCCGGACAGCACTTACCCGATAAGATTTGGTAAACAGCCCCTTAGTTCATCATTTAGCTTATCAACTCCCAACTATTTTATCAACGATCAGATAACTTATTAGCTAATTTGCCAAATATAGCTTTACTCCATCCAAAAAAGGTGGAATAACACCATATTACCTTGTAACCTAACAGGTAAACAACATCTAAAACTTAAATCGTTTCCATCAGTTCTCTCCCCAACATCTTGGTCGAACCCTAAAACGAAATCAGATCTATCATTCACTTCTTTGATGCTTTCAGGATACCTAGATGACTTGGATCAATCAAACAATGTACTATTTCTTTTTCAAGTCGATCTCGTTCCAAATCAATCTCCTCGACATCAAATCGATCACACAAGGTTTAAGCAAAACAAAAAAAAAAATGAATCCTTAAATTACACAAAGAAAATAAATTTTAATTAGTTTGATACTAATATCAATATATATTTTTAAAATTTTTATGATATCTTCATATTTATATTTTATTTAAAAGTAAAAACATTATCGTTTTCTCAAAACCAAATAAAATCGTATTATGACATTGACTGAGACAAAGATAATAATAAAATAAAATATTAAAATCGAGATGTATCTTGGTGCATTACGCAAATACCGTTCTAGTATTGTTTAAGGTGTAAAACACAATTCTTCTATACAAAAAATGTCTGAGCCCGGGTTCGAACCGGGGACCTCTAGTGTGTGAGACTAGCGTGATAACCGACTACACCACCCAGACAATTTCGTACTTTTGTTTACATTTTCCGAACCAAAATCATATAATCTATATTAAGAAAACATACATTGGCTGATTTAAACCCGTCTCAGCGGCTCGTCTCTCTTGCGCGCTTCCCTCCCTCCGTCCCTCTCTGCAATGGCGTCTCACCACGCGTCTCTGGGTCGACGAACGGTATAAACATTTGTATTTCGAAACGACTTTGATTGATTTTTGTGTGAACTGGTGTTTGTTTGATGAATTGACGATAAAATCTGTTGATTCCAGTTGGAAGAAATTCGTCAAAAGAGAGCGGCTCAGAAATTAGGCAAAACATCGTCGGGACCTGATATCACAAAGCCTCCTAGCCCTAGAGGTAACGTTCTCTTTGATTGATTTGTCATTTGTGTTGGCTACATTGTATTTTGACGGTAAAAATGTTCGTTTAAATCGGCGGTTGCAGGGATTTCGAGATCCTCCAGCGGGACTGGAATTTCCGAGGTTGGTTTTACTAGATCGATGGTTTATTTTCAGCAGCCATTGATAAAATTTGCTTCATCGTTTGTAGATTAAATATGTATTCATATCAAGATTGCTTCTATCCAAAGAGAAATGCTAAGTTTGCGGTTTAAGAAAGATTAATGATATTTTAGTTCAATACTAATCTGAATTATATGTTCTGTTGAGAATGTTGCAGTATGATATTAGTGGATTAGTTTCACAGATACAAGATTTGCAGAAAAGGAATGCAGGACTGGACAAGGAGAATAAAACACTGAGCTCAAAGGTTTACAGTTTTTCCAAAACTATTTTAGTTGTTACCAGCAATCCTCTTTTTATGATTGATGATATTTTTTTTCTTGTTTTTGTTCCTCAGCTTCATTCTAAAGAAACTGAGAATGACATGCTTCAGAAGCGAGTGAATGACCTGGTATGTGCTATTTTGTTGGAATCCTGTGGTAGTTGTTTTGCTTGTTTGAATTATAAAACCAAACCAAATGTATGGGTATATACCACTTGGAATTATGGTGCATTTTCCTCTGCCTCAAGGAGTAGATTGTTTCCGTAAGGACCCCCAGCTTGAGGAAAAGTTTCAGGAATTCGTGAAAGAAGTCCAAAAGCTTCGGAAAAGTTATTCAAGAGCAAGAGACGGTGTGAAATATTTGTAAAAATTGAGTGTTTTAGAAATGAAGTACAATATAGGAAGTAGAACAATATAACAATGTAACAAGCAAGTTTACCCGACGGCAGGTCCTAGCTAGCATTTGCACACCAAAGGGCACTCCTAGATACTGGCAAAGAGCATTTTAGGAGTATGGTTTGTCCTTATTAGCACTTCTAGAAGGTATCAAATAATTGAAAAGGTGTTGCATCTCCAGTTGGATTTGTAGTCTTTATTCAGTTTTTTACTCAGCTGGTCACCCCCATGTGCCAGACACAAAGCAGAAATACTAACATGTTGTCTTCTGGGATCTATATGAGCGCTGGTATTTATCATGCAGGTGTTTTGCAATAGACTGAAACTGCTCAGTTAGGAGGGAGGGGCATGGGTGGGTATGTTATTTGAGTTATAGAACCAGGACCTTTAGAAAGAAGTTGGAATGCTCAATGGTCATGGCTACTGATAAATGGAAAAACAGTAGAGCCAGACCAAATGCAGCTGCTTAACAGCATGGATGCTATGAACTTAGACAGTAATATTACCACTTTCTTTTTGCTGACTTCGATCGACCAGAATAAAGAAGCATATAGAGAGATTCTAGCACCCAGGACAACTCTCTCTTTTAAGGTGAAACATGGCTCTGCACTTGCTATGGTGATGTTTGTGGTAAGTAGTAACCTGATTGAAGTGCAACACTTTCCACTGCTGCTTTGAACCAAGTTATGAACTTAGATGGCCAGCTTTGATTGATGTTGAAAGTATGTGGACAAGCTTAAACTGGTTCTGGATAGAATACCTACAGAAATAGGGGACTTGATCTAGTGATACCTAAAAGGAAGTTTTGTTTCTATCCATCTATGACATTAACTGTAGATGGTTACCCCCAGAGAAATTAGTCAATACCTGAGCTTCTTCATGAACTATTTACATTATAACTCAATAAAAAGCGAGTGCTTGGAAGTATATAACAAATGACTTTGACATCTTGCAATGTTTGCTTTGAAGCCACGTGTATGCACTTTTCACCCCTCAAAATTCCCTAATAATGAAAGCGAATGCCCCTTGATAAAATGACGAGGGAAGATTTGCCTCCCATTATAGCTAGGACCTGTGTGAAGATGTGTCACCCTTGACTGCAGTCTTTCATGGTAATACTTTTGCTTCTCACTCTAATCAGGTAGCTTGTGTGGAGTTCTGGAAGTTACTTTCATGTAACTTGGCGAAGAAAACTTGGCCTGTATTACTAAACCAAATTATCCAGTAGCATAAATTGGTTACTAGCTTTCTTTAGAAGTGCAGGATCAAGGATGCTTATACTGACACCTTCCACAGGGTGAGGGAGTACACCAGGAATCATGAACATCACCTTGGTTGCATATTTCAACCTATTCAAACATAACAAGTTTCAAATAAAAATTAATTCCTGCTACAGAATGCTTTAAGCTATGTGCAAAATTAGATCCAAGCACTCCACATGCACCCTTCATCCCTCAAGATACCCTGATAATAAAAACAAGTGCCCGTCCATAAGACAAAGAGGGGAGGTTTGTCTTTCATCATAGCTAGGTAGCCCTGCATGAAGGTGCGTACCCTTGATTGGAGGAAGCCTTTTGTCAGAATATTTTGCTTCTTATTCCAAGCAATTAGTGATATCTTTCTTTAGAGTTCTGGAAGTCACTTTGACGTAGCTTGACAATTTGGTTAGCATTACTACTTCACCAAATCATCCAGTAGTATAAACTGGTTACTGCCTTTCTCTAGGAGCGTAGGACCAAGGAGGCTGCAACTGTCACCTTCCACAGGATAGGGATTAAACCAGGAACCACAAATACCACCGAGCTTTTAAAACAAAACAAGAGTATGAAATAAAAACTAATACCTAGTAAAGAATTTTGCTTGCCTCCTATTACTGATTCAACCCACAGGGATCATGAACAATTCTATAGGGATGAGTTCATAACTATATCGTTGTTACCTAGCGAAGGATGTTAACCTGAAGTGGATCTCTTACTAATCAACACTTGAAGTTTCATGATGTATAATGTTAAAAGAAATCCTACTGGGTCTATCAAAATTTGTGATTATCTCATTTCTGCTTCTTGGGAACAGCAAGCTCCCCCCTGCAGGGGATAAGAAAGAATTGCAAGATGCACTATACTTACAGTCAAATAGACATGCATGAGTGTGTCTATAGTTTTATTTTTCAGCACCTGATTATCTTTTTATATGAAAATGCAAACATTTTCAGCTGCATGGAAACAGCACAATAAGCCAATGGCACATGCTTACCTTTGGTTCCATGACCCTTTCCCCGATCTTTTCTTTTCCATCATCTTTTCCTCTTCAGGGGACCAGGGTTTTGAAATATACCATCACTATAGGGCCTTGCAAATATCTGAAAGAGATTTTCTACACAAAAATTGATCTTCCATCTAAATATGATAATGTGAAATATAATGATTAGAGGTAATCATTTGCTGGTTTGGGCCGGGCCTAACATAATGTTTTTGTTCAACGGGCCTAATATAGCAAACTCAAACCCATTTTGCGGAGTTGAGAATTTACCCATACCCGTCCTATAAACAGGTCGGGCTTGTCCATGGGCTAACGGGCCTATTTTTTTACATTTGAAAAACTGAACTTATATAAAATCATAAGTTAGGTGAAATAGTATAAATTACATAATTTTCTTCCCAACATAAAAGAGGACGTAAAAGATACCGATGTACATAGCATAAGAAAAAATAGGAGCCATTTTGGAAAATAACTTCAAATGAGGTTTTTAATTAAATCCATGACCTTCTCACGAGCATGGAAACATTTTTTCTTAATAGGTTAGGAGGTCATGGATTTAAAAAACAAATCATGGAAGGTCATATACCTAAAATATCCCAAAAAATAGTTTCACATTGTATGGAGTATGGGCATTTTCTCTCCAGTGATTTATCAACTTTCAAATTCCGGGGTTTTTCAATAACAAAATAGTAATATTTCAAGATCAAGATTCGAGACGTACTATATAATATATTGGTGATATCACATATAATATATTTGGGAGACGGTTGGTATTCACTATCGGGAGTACAACCCAAAAACAGTTCTAAAATTTTTTAATAGAAAAAGCAGTAAAGTATTAATCATATATTAAGTTTAATCAACTATAATAATATGACAGGCTGGGCGGGCCTGTCTGCCGAGCCTGCCCATTAATATTAGTGCTCCAGCTAGAGCCTGCCCATTTTTCAAGAATGGTTGTCTAAACCCACTTTTCTAACGGGGCAGGGTCTTGCGGGCTGTATTGCCCGTGAACAGCTCTAACAATGATGGAAAGATGATTATATATTTATATGGGTTTAACATGCAGGAACGGAATACTGTACCATCATTGAGAAAAGCCGTTAAGGATGCCGTGATGGAAAAAGATGCAGCAGTTGTCGCACGGGTACAGATGATCATAAGAATTTTTTGATTGTAGGAGATGAAGTTCACAAACTGACTATATATGCCAGTACTAGCTAACACTGATATTTTAGTGTAGGAGGATTTCTCAGCACAACTTCGAGCACTTAAGAAGCGTCTAAAGGAAGCAGAAGAGGAACAGTATCGGGTAAGCAGTTGGTATTGTTTTATATTTTGGTTGAAGTAAACTGCATTTATATATGCTTATAAGCTCTTAAATAGGCTGAGGAAGATGCAGCTGCACTAAGGGCAGAACTAAACTCACTACAACAACAATCAATCAGTGGCAATGTTGGTGCTAGTATCTCGATGGGAGGCCCACCAGATCAAATGCAAGCTATTGAGAAGGAGCTCGCTGATTTGAAGACCCAGCTAGAGGTTAGAATGATATATGACATGACAACTTATTTACTTTTGGAGCTTCCTATAAAATAACCACTTCCTCACGTACTAATAGTTGATCAACTAAATAGCAAGAGTCGATGTTGAGGCGCCAAGAAGGAATGTTGAGACGTCAAGAGCAACAACAGTTAGCAGAAGAGCAACTCCGAATATCTACCATCATATCTGAAAAGAAGGATTTGGAAGAAAAACTAGCAGCCATGTCCAAGAATATCACAGGTGACCATTAGATACAAATTGAAGATGTCGATATGTACATTGTCTGCTACTTATGTCACTTGATCAAAATTTAAATGCATAATGAACTGTCCAAAATGGGCATCTCAATTTTTGTTCTGCATTTTAGTGTTCCATGTCACATAGGTCAAAGGTGTGAAAGTTAAATACTGATGTAGCAGTCATAACTTATGATAGATAAAACACAAAATTGTTATCATGACCTCTAGTTTTATTCTAAATCTCCGTAGTTTCATTGAGGAGGGAGACATTGCCGAGGATGCGCGTCACAAGAGACAAGGGTGCTTTAAGCATAAATTTGCATTTAGATCCTTTTCAAGTAAATCTCTGTAGGATGTTTCTGAGTCCTTCTGTGATGTATATCTGTTAGAATGTTCAGCAAGAGGCATCATCTGCATGAGGCTGTGCAGATTTGTAAATTGCTACAAGGATATATGACTTAGGGACTATGCTGTCACAGCGATCAACATACCAAATCGCAGTGAGTTTTGTGATTTGAAATAGCGATTATCGTGGTGGTAAAGCTGTTCATATAAATATTTAGAATTATATAATATATATATATATATATCATAAAATATAAATCACTTAACTATTATGTGTAATCAATATAAAAAAGAAATTCACCATAGACTAATAGTCCCAAAAAAAGAAATTCACTAATAGACTAAGAATGATGGTGGAAGGATTTAAGAAACATGGTTGAATGCTTGATGATGTTGAAAACCTAAATCTTATAATCGTTGACCGGTAAAGATAAATAGATGGATTAAGGCTATGTTTGGCAAACTAGCTGATAAGCTAGCTAAGCTAGCTGGTAGCTGATAAGCCAGCTGAAGCTGATAAGCTAGCTGATGAACAAATCATGTTTGGCAAAAACTAGCTGATAAACATGTAAAATGACCAAAAAAGACATATTGAAAGATTAATCAATTATAATATTTCAAAATATAATTGAAAACAAATCTCTAATAATATAATATATTAATTA